ATCAACCTTAAACTCTTCAGGGCAGGGAACATCTTTAACACTTTTTGTATGTACAGCCCCTAGCACACTGGGTCTCCGATACTGATTGGTGCCTCCGGATGCTACTGCAATATAAATAATAATCATCTGGAATTAGACACTGCTGGAATCAGGATACTGAACTACCAGGATGATTGGTATGTCCCAATAAGACTCAGTGGCTGGAGGAACAAATTTATGATGAGGTACAGGAATGCTACTTAGTATTTATAGAGTGCTATTGATCTGTAGATCTCAAAGCTCTCCACAAAGGTGGCTTAGCATTAGAAGCCTCATTTTACAGATGGGAACGCTGAGGCATAGTATGATAAAGTGACTTGCCCATGGTCACTCAGGGAGCCTATGGCAGAGGTGGGAATAAAACCCAGGTCCCTTGATTCATAGTCCAGTGCCCTAACTACTGGCCAAGGCTGTCCCACAAAAAGGATTTAATGCTATCTTGGATCTAGGCACTAAACAGTAGCTCTAACCAACAGGATGCACAGCCTGCAAATGAGAGGAGGAAGAGTTCAATATGTCTAGCCTGGCTAAGCAACTAAGAAGGGGACGTGATAACTGTCTACAGATATTTGAAAAGTGCAAACAGCAAGGGTGGCGACCAATGAGGTGATGACTAGGAATAAGGGCATGAAATTAAGAGAAAACTGAATATGAATATCAGACAAAACTTCCAGGCAATGAGATGTGTTAGACTATAGAATAAATGCCTCCAAGAAGTAGTGGAGGCCCATCTTTTGGCACATTTCACGCTAATCTGGCCCTAGTACTAATAAACATACATTAGGCACAAGAATGGATCGGCTGTCTAAGAGATCTGTTCCATCTGCGGAATCTATGAGAGTAGATACAGCTAGAGTTTCTCCTCTCGGCTTTCTTTCAAACAGCCACACACACCTGGTTTGGTAGTTAACAGGAACCATACGAGAGACTAGCAGAGAATGACTCTCATGGACAGTAATAGCTTCTTGTTGTCCGTCTGGCCGTGTCAAGTGCAAATTGTCACCAGATGAACATAATCCTTTGTCCTCCTTTAGGGAAGCACAATGGCTATATTATCTCCTATAAGTCCTTGGAGTATGGACCGTTCCTGGGTTACAAGTGGAAAGCATGCTGGAATGCTGTAGTTGAGCCCACTTCTAGCTTTCCACCACCCCACGCCCAAAGGAAAATGGTCCTCCTATCACTCTCTGTGGTTTTAGGATCTCAACATCCAAGGCACGGTGATCTGGTCAGGTCCTGGATGCCCTCATCTTCCACTGACTTCAAAGGAAGTGCTCAGTTCACATCATTATCCACAGGAAAAGGAAGGGGAAAAAGAAAAGTGGCTCAAGCACAGAGGTAGGAGCACATTTTAGGATCTATGGCTGATCTAATACAATTCCTTGAGCTTCTAAAGCATCTTCCACCTGATGCTCTCAAACGCTTTGATAAACATAAATGAATTACGCCACATAACATCCCCATGCAGAAGGCATTATTATCCCTATTTTACAGATGGCGGAAGCAGACCAAACATACCACAGAGAGATGAAGTGACTTGCTCAATGTCACTCAGCTAGTCAGTGGCAGAGATGGGAACAGAATACAAGTTTTCTAACTCCAGGCCTGTGCTTTAACCACTAGATCACATCTCCCACATTGAAAGCTTCTATGAACATGCCTACTCACTGCTGCCAACTATTTTAGGAGTGACATCATCAGTGCAGAAGAGGGCACTAGTTTACATGGAAGAGGAGGGAGTTTAATTGAAGTTCAAGTTGAGAATATAACTAAAATGAACTGTCTGGTCTCAGTTTATGGTTTATAAATTGTAAGCTCTTTGGGGTGGGGACCATCATGTTTTTGCATGTGTGTTCATTCAGTGCCTGATATAATGGGGCTCTGAGCTGGCTGAGGTCTTAGGCAATAATAATAAAATATACTCCTGGTGTGATGCACAATCCTGACATCCATAATTCCGAAGCAGAGGCACTTGCAGAGAGGTTTCCATAGAATAACAATCAGCTCATACAGGGTGGCAGGGAGGGAGAAGTCAGGTGCAATTTTAAAGTGTGGTTCTGCTCTGAAAGGTGACCCGACTGCAGACGCAGTCTGACAAACACACCACCTCAAATGCACTCAGTTTACAAGCAAAAGGATGATTATTCTAGCTGCCCTGGACTGTAAATTAAACCTGACATCTGAGACTCAAGCTGAGTTTTTTCCTCATAGTGCACCATCACCAGTAGCAAAGGTTCTGCAGGCCAAATCAGGCCTCAGGGACACCAGCACAGCCCTCAAGGACAGCTGTAGAACCTCACGGTCTTCAATAGGTTTGCTCAGGACAAACTGTCTGGAAACTTAGCAAACAATTCTATGGGTGATCCACAAAAAGTAATAGAATCTGGCTCATTCTCTCGTAGCCGTGTTTGGTTTGGAGGGCTAATAGGAGTCAAAAGTTGTCAAAACTGACTTTTGTCTCTCAAGTCAGTAGATCTGACTCTGAGCACATGCAGAGAGCAGATCTGTTGAGTATGGAGGTGCCATCTTTACAGAGCACAACAGCACTTTTAAGGCCTCAAAACTCTGACTTCAGATCTCTGAACCACCAGGCACAGCTCCATACAGTCATATAGTTGCCCCTGCTTTGGCAAGAGTGAGCCAAACTTTATCACTGGCACCAGGTCAAGGGGAGGTCACCTGCATAAAACAGCACGAGGGTGCTGATTTGGTGGCTGAAGGCTCTCTGTGGTTTCCAAAGCAGCTAGCTCTTTCTGTCCCTCACAAACTCAAATGTTCAGTCCAAGGTGTGGGGAACGGGGGGGAGAAGTGTACCTTCAATTAACATACATTTCCCAAAACGTTAAATGGCAGATATGTAACAAAACAGTGTGACATTCATACTTTTTGCTGCTATGCCTCTAAACCATTTTACAGCAACCTGTCAGATCTGATCAGACTTGTTTATTCTGCCTGTAAATGTAGAACCTGAGGCCGTCTTGTTGCAGAAAAGACAGAAAAAAGCACATATTGTCCCTGGCAGTTGCTTGGTTTTTACAACGGCAATGTCTTGTTAACTCTTTATTCAAATCAAAGCGATGTTCACTGCTCGGTTACATTACAAAGTGCGAACAATTTTGCTTGCTGCATTGGCATGGATGGCAACTCAATTAAAATGGAAAATAAAACAAACAAAACATGCCGTGAAAGAAATAAATCAAGTGATTTATAAATAGCATCTTGGAAATCTCACATAAGCTAATGATAACGGATTAGAAGGCAGTGTCCCTTCTGGCTACAGTTTACAAATTCTTATCTGCTTAAGGTTGCTCTAGAAAGATTTCCAGCTGACCACATTACTCTTAAAGATAAACCCTTCCTGGCCGTTTACAATTGCATACCAACTACTACAGCATTGTGGGTGCCTTCACGTTTGCTTTGATAGGGGATGATTGGTCATTCTTTAGAGTTCAATGGCCCCTGCTTGCCAGTCTAATTTTAAATACAGCAATTGTCTGCACTGAATTTCTGATCGATTCATCAGTCCATGATAGGACTGTAAACATTCTTGGACATCTTCTAGCAGACCCATTCAAAAAGCCTTGACAATAGCCCTCAGTTCATGCAACAACTGTTCCAAATTAGCCACTGCGGGGGGTGGGGGGGGGGAGAGGAGGGGAAGAATCTAAGTTCTCACAGAGGTATCAGAAAATCCTCCTATTTAACAAATATAAATATCATCATCATTAATCCATAGCACCTTTCAACTGTGGAGCTCAAACTCAGTAGAAAGGTGGGTGAACACTAGTTTCCCCTAGGGTGACCAGATGTCCCAATTTTATAGGGACAGTCCCGATTTTGGGGTCTTTTTCTTATATAGGCTCCTATTACCCCCCACCCTCTGTCCCAATTTTTCACATTTGCTGTCTGGTCCCCCTAGTTTCCCCATTTTACAGACTGAAAGCAAATTCTTTAGCATATGGCTTGAGGGGAAACAGCAACAAGTTTTAATGATGAAGAGAATGGCTATGGAAATCGCTTCCTTCTTCCAGCATCCATTCTGTATGGGGTGGGTCTCTGACATACTCCCTTGACTTCATTCAGTGCCTTGGGATGTGACAATATGGACACTCAGGGGCCAATTCATGATTCTGCCCTGACTTATGCCCTCTCGTGGGGTAGCATGAGGGGAAAGACAGAGAAGAATGAATGCCACTCCTGACCACCTTACTCATGCAAGTCATTCCATCGGAGGTGGCCCTGGGAGTGCACAGCTTAGCTCAGAAATGGGATTTTAACATGATGAGTGGGGCTGAGGAAGAAAAATAATCCTGGCTCAAACTGGAATAGAAGCCCCAGATATCCTGTCGTTCTCCAAAATGGGGTGATGGTCCATCCCCCCAAAAATGACATTTCTGGGGTAACCACAAAGACAGCATGTGTCTCAAACATGCTGCCCCTCACTTTCGTTAAGCCATCCTTCATGCATTATTCCCACTGTAGAGAATTAAAAGCCATAGACAAGGCCATCCCTGTCTGAATGAAGGGAAGGTGTGGAGAGGCATGGTGATAAAAATGGCAAATTGGGCCTGAATTGTTGGAGTATCAGTCATATGCCTTTAGTCACTGGGGTGAGAAAGCTGATTGCCTTGAGTGTCTAACCTTCTGCAAAGTTCATTGGCACCCATATGGTCTGAGCTACACATGTCCCTTCCCACCCCACTTGGGCTTCCTGGACTGAAGCCCTGGGGGAGAGTTTGTCAAATAGGTGCATACTAAGACAGGCATGTCAGGGGCGGGATCCTACCTCTTGAGCCTCTTTAGGGCATAATGTGAGACTCCCTACAGAAAGAGGAAATGGGTTTAAAGACCAGTAGCACAGAAACTAACCATCAATGCAACCTCTTGCTCCACAGCCAGCCCCAACCCACCAGGGATAGCACCCTCCCTAGGCGCAGTCACACAGGATGGGGTACCCCTACCTTTGAGGTGCTGGTGGTGGACCCTGTGGAATCTGCTCTGGTTGCCTCTGGGCAGTGCAGGGATGCTAGAGAAGCTGTTACCCATGGCATCAAAGGCAGAAGAGAGCAAGCCGACAGCTGGAAGGCGCGTGTGTGGTGGGGTCCCCCTTCCTGGGGCCGTGCTGCCGGGTGGGTGCCTTGGAGAACCTGCAGCTCTGCTCTGCCTCCGCTGCGGCTTCTCCTTTCCCTTGCTGTCACTTCAGAGCTGAAATCCCCTTTTGTCTCCTCTTCCTCCTCCTCCTCATCGATGGGGATTACTTGGTTCCCGGGCTGCGGGGAGGGGGTGCCGGAGGAGGGAGCGGCTGCCTGCTTGGATCCAATGCGGGGGGGGTAGGGGGGGGCTCTGATCTTCCTTAGGAGCCTCTGGCTCTAATCCCCCCTCCCTACGGCTCAGCCTCCGAGCCCTCCCCTGCTTCTCTCTTTGTGTCTCTGCTTCTCTCCCCCGCCCCCGCTTCGCCCCACAGATCGCACCTGGCCTCTGCAGTCCTGCCTCCCGCTCCCCTCCCACCCCCTGCTCCTCCGCCCCTAGCGAGCCGCTGCCGGGGCATCTTCCCCGAGCCCCTGCATGCTCCCCGCGGCCTGCGGGGGCGGCGGTCTCCCTCCCAGCCGCCCCCAGCCCGTTGTTATGGTGACAGCTGTCTGTTCATACATGTCGCTAAGGGACCAGGGTCACGTGGGCCGGCCAGATGTGCCACCTCTGGAGCGGCGCGGGCTGGACAGCTGGGCCGCTCCCAGGCTGCTGCCCCCCCCCCTCCCGGCCCCGCCCAGCCCAGCGGCGCTTCCCCGGGGCCGCCCGGCAGGTGTAGCCCCATTGCCAACAGGTGCGGGGGGTGCACGGCGCGGCACGGCCGGGGCGGGGCTGCTCCGCGGGAGCGGGCAGGGACTTCAGAGCGAGAGAGAGAGCGGGTGGTGTGTACACACCCCAGCCCGGTAAGTTCAGTGTGTGTGTGTGTGTGTGTGTACACCCAAAGACAGATCAGGTCAGAGAGAGGGGGTGTGTGTGTACCTGT